CAGTAGTTCACTGCTTTCTCCCAACTATAGGAATCCTTATTCCTCTCAACTGGCTCCTTCTTGACTTATGTGATTGCCTAAATCTCTCTCTGACACTTGAGTTTATATTGATTCGGGTGAGATGATTGTAAAAGGGGTTCAAAATATACATTTTTTAAAAAAGGCACAACTTTCTTGGGTAGGGATAGACAATGTTCTGAGTCATATTTACATCTCAACATCGAGTTCAGTCTTGTAGTCTCTTGTTGCAGAGCATAATCACTAGACCAATTTCTGAACAGCTACACATCATCATTGAATTGAGATAAATGGAAGGTCAGTTCATATAGATTACCTTGGTTCTGGTGAACACACCAGCTGGTGGTACAGTGAAATTTAAATGAATATACTTTGCATGTTCTCGAAGTTCAGGAGGATCTGGAAGATCCTACTGAAATGCACTTTTTGAATACTGTCACAAAAATTTTCATCCACTTTCATCAGCAATGCATTCCCTAAATCAAATGGGGCCTGTACACAAACACTTCAGGAAATATTTTTCTGAGTGTGAAGCACTTTTTGTGATGATCTGTGGTCAAGATGTTAGACATGAATCCAGATTCTATACTTCTCAACAGTAATATTCTACTTCATCAAAGCAGTGACACAGGAAGAGAACACCCAGGCAGGTTGGAAAGATTCTTTCCTGAAGCATTCAGATATCTGATGAAAGTCACTTCTGAATTGTGGTTTAAATCTGAGCTACACTGCAGGAGACGTGGACTATCTACAGCTGACACATTAGGGCGTTGGAGCAGTGCTACCAACACTGCCTGCACAAGCTCCTGCAAATCCGCTGGGAGTAAAGACACAACAACAGCACCCTCGACCAAACAACATCCCCAGCAGTAAGGCACTGACCACCCTTGATCGGCTGGGCAGGTCAACTGCATGGCCACCCCGAGTGCCCCCCCCCCCCCACCAGGTGCTCTCCTCCCAGCTTCAAAATGGGGCCCAGATGGACCAAGGGAATGCTTCACTGATCCCCTCAAGGCCTCACTGGCAAAGTGCGGCATTCCCACAGAGACCTGGGAATCACTGGCCCGAGACTGTCCAAAGTGGAGCAGCAGCATCCGGGAAGGTGTGGAGCACCTCGGGATGTGCCGTCGGGAAAAAGTGGAAGCCAGGCGGAAGCAACGAAAGAAGCGCGCTGCTACATCAACACCCCACCCACTACCTTTCCTGTGACCGCCTTCTGCCCCAAGTGTAACAGAGCCTGCAGTAGCTACAGCCACCTATGGACTTGCCCTGAGATTGGAAGAGAGTCATCCTTGTCTGTGAGGGATTGCCAATGACGATGACACTGCACGGTGCAGTCACCTGAGTTCCCGTACTGTGTGAATTCAAATTCAATCTAAAAGCTGGTCACTACTGTAATGATGTGACATTTTCTGTCACTGAGGCAACCAGTTAGTTTTCATGAGCCATGCGTGAGGGGTTCACAAGGAGTGACAAATTAAGTCGCAATAGAGACTACAGATCAGAAGAGGGCATGCTCAAACTATACGATCCCCTTAGTCAAATCCACTGTACTTGACCTAGTTTTGGTCAATGGGACACCAGACTTGGAAGGCAGTACAGAAGACGAGTTAAGCTGAGTTTTTATTTTTTATTTTATATATATAAAACACATTTTAAGACCTGAAGTGGAGAGAATGTTTGGCTAGGTATGTAAAAGCAAATTGGATAATGGCAAATAAGCAAACTATTTTAAACTATACCATAACGGAACAGGTTCAAATCAGTGACTGGCAATTTAAAATGGATACAAGGAAATTACTTGCATAAGCCATCAGTACATGGAATTGACTCCTAGGTAAAATTTTAGAAGCAAAAGGCATGTAATCATTTTAACAGTTGGATAATGTGATGGGCTAACTGGAGGTGGTGTGTGTGGTTGCAGTCTTGTCTTCCTAGAGAGAACCATAATTATCCAAATAGTCATCTTCATTTATCAGTATCTTACAACAGTATGCAAATCTGAAATGAAACTTGTGGAATATGTTCGAAATCACAACCATGCTGCACTGTCTGTTCCTCAACTCACCACACTATTCTGGTCCTCCTTTAGTCTTGTCCTCCCTCCTACAAAGTTTCAAAGGACCGCGCCTGAATACAATCTAACATCTCACTTCTGATCCATACTTTTGCTCCTACCTTCGTCCAACATTTGCACTTAGACTTTGGTCAATCACCCACAGTAGTAAAAATATAAAAGGAGTTTTAAAAACTCATACAGGATAACAGTTGCTCATCTATTGACATTTGTAGTAAGTTTCTGGAAGAATGCTTCATGATTCACAACTCAAGTCCTTTAAAGGGCAGCTGCAAATTCTGGACAAAAGGATGGCAAAAAAATCCCCACATGACGCAGATACATTACATCAATTTATTAACAGTTCAATTTTGACCATCAAGTTAGAGAGCTACAGGAAGTAAGAACTAAATATTTAAAGCAGATGCCTTAATTTCTAGTCCCCATCACAAGGTTTTTATAGGAGCCCACACTGTACAATGCCTGAAGTTTACAGTCTGAATTATTCCCCTTCACCAAAATATTAACAAAAATGAATTTCAGCCAAAGGATCTTTTTAAAAGATGTAAACACTGCATTCAGACCAGTTTGTAGGGGGAGAATGGGCCTTGAAATGGAACAGTTGCAGCTACAGCTTAGGTACACATACCACGAACACAGCCAATATGAATGGGTCGATTCCTCATGTGAGCCTGCCCCCAAGTTCAGTAGCTGGAAACTCCAGCAATCTGTGGTTCCAACAGTTCTGGACTTCTTACTTTTGGGAGAATTTCAGTGGTATTTTAAATTTCTGAAGCATTTTCAGGGCACAGTGTATGGGGGTTCTGGTGTGTGTAAAAGGTTTGTTTGTCAGAAATATTTCATAGAGAAACAATTAGGATTTTAATAAAAGTTCACTGCATTTGAATCCAGAGTGTGGCATTGTTGCAGGACAACTTTGCTCCCTCTTCTTAAGGTGAAGTGTTCAGTAGGTCATCTGCTCCTCGACCCTCTGCACACTATTCTGAAAGGTGGTGGGCAGGAGCATTTCAGTGACAGCTTGTTCCTCTCAATTTTGTTGTCCTCTATTTAGGGAAATTCCTCACAATAAACGAACAAGCACAAGCTTGAATCTTGGGGTCTATTGCTGTGCTGTACTGTACTGTGCCTCAATGTACTGGCCACCACGCAGTCTGAGACCATTTCTTTTAAGATCCTGTTACCATCTACTGCTGGAGGACAGATTCATAGGGTGACAGACAAGGTAATGACTTGTTCCCACTATCGAGTAATTGGCCTTGGGCTGTGACTGTACATTATTGGCTTAAGCACTTCAAACACAGCTTTTATTGGTGGTGCACGTAGTTTCCGATCAGCCAAACAGCACCTTCTTACAATCCCCTACAAGGCACTCTGAACACTGCAATTACAAAAGGTCTGCTTATGTGTCAATGACAACAGGAACTGCACCAATACATACTCCTCTCCATAAACAGTGCAGGGCTCTAGGGTACAAAACATCTTAGATTTTTGTTTGTTCCCAGTTTCTTGCAATCCATTTTATTTTGCCAAATATACAATTCAAGACACCATTCCCGTGATGCTCCTTTGCCAATCACTGCTCATTCTGTTGGCCCTCTGTGATACCCGACACTGACCCCTGGCCTTTGTTCACATCACTGATGCAAACCCATTGGCCTTCAACTGACTCCTTCCATAGACTGACCTGCAAAAACAAATTGGATAAAAGGGTGATGGTTATGTTGTGTTCAAACATGGAAATAGCACCTTCATTGAAACAGTGACAAGATTACTTTTCCTGTAAGAACAATGAAGAACCACTCCTTGCAGAATTAGAGCCCACTGGGAAAGAATGTTAAAGCAGGAAACTAAATTTAATTTCTAAAATTCATTCTCAGGCATGATTGGCTATTATTGCCCATCTCTAGGGCCCTTAATTGTTTCTCAAGAGTAACCACGTTTGTGTGGGATTGAAACTGCAATTATCTCTAACAAAGGGACAGGTTTCTG